TAAGCCCCCCTCTATTAAGCCCCCCCCTCCCAAGTACCTGAAATAAATAAGCCCCCCAGGGGGCTTATTAGAGGATTTATGGTATAAGTTTGAAACTGTGATTTTTAACATCAAGCCAATAACATTAGTGGCAAAAATTTCCCACTCACCATGTAATATCTAAATAAGTGTGGACTTCTTCCCCAGTTGAAAATTTTCTGGTCTTCTGTGATAGCCAGCTGAAAACAGAATATTCATCATTACCTAATCATAAATCTGAAAACTTTACTATTACTATTAATATTATTTAATATTAATACTTTTTGAAGTTCTGGAGAGAAAATACTCTTTAAGAAATGTTTTCCTCAGCTTAAGAAAGTATCAAAACTGGTGCAAAAACTGAAAAAAAAAAAAGTAAGAAAATTTGGCAAAACTACTTACAGTTTCAAATGATCCACAACAAATCAAGTAAAGTTTCTCATTCTTCAAAGTGTCTACAAGCACTGGAAGTGTCTGCTTACTGTTGGTTCCCAGTCCTAACTGACCATACAGTCCTAAGTACAACAAACACCACAAGATACATACCTAAATGTTTTTACAAAATCAGAGACAACTAACCTAAAGATCAATATGGGATTAAGATGAGCCAGGTAGTTTTGGAGAGCACAATGCACGTAGAGACAAAACGTGTCCAACTACATGGATTTGTAATTTATACTCAGCCTAAACCATAAAATAAACTTGATGTCAAATAATACCAGCTGATCACTGGGAGAGTATTGAATTATAACACTGCTTAAAATTCAACATAGGGTTTTGCTCAATTTCCTCTGTTAATCTCCAAAGTTGAAATTTCTGAAAAATACCTTACAGCCTGTATGTTTCCAAAATGACCACAATACAAACCAATTTGAAACAAAATTACAAATAAAAGGAACTTTCTGTTAACTGTATGACTGTGTTTTCATACCTCCTCCAAATGTGAGGATTTGTCCCTGAAAAAGGAAATGATTTAAACAGGGTTGGAAAACATTGCCTCTCTTCCAGTAATAAATAGGTAAGGCCATTTTCGATATATTAAAATTCTAACATGGTTACCAGGCTAGGGGGAATAAATCAAAAGAAATTAATCATTCATTGCCCAACCTCCATGTGATTTCTTTTGTTTTTTTCCCCAAAGCCTCTGAACCAAGTTTGAATTTTTAATGTAACAAAAATGGCTTATTCAAGTGTATGGCTCTTCCTTGATGTGGGCCTTATCAAGTTCTTTCATAGCAACAGTCTTTTGTCTCATAACCCAGCTTAGTAAAACTTAGGTCAAAATATAATGTTTGGTCAGGACACAAAACTCACTAGGTGGGAGACCTGGTTAACCACCAGTTTGTGTGCTGAAGAATATTGCTAGGACTTTGTGTTTCATTTGTTCAAAAAGAAGTGATACTTATTAAGTTTTTCCTCTTTAAATTAAGTTTTTCCACTTTAAATTAATATGCTCCCCTCTCAGCCACCCCCCCAAAGTACCCCTGGGGGGGGGGGCTTATTAGAGGATTTATGGTATTCAGGTGCAGATTGTATTAACTTTGTAACAAACCAAAACCAACCTGAGCTGTAAGTACTGCACTGTGTGAATACCCAGCAGCTAGTTTGGTCACTTGATACTCATCAAGTGCTTGCACATGAGTTGGCAGGAGTGCATCTTCAATACTACCCACTCCTAACTGTCCATGGACTCCCCATCCCCATGACCACACCCGGTGATCTGCTGACAGAGCCATGGAGTGATAATATCCACACATAACTGCTATACATTTCTTGTCCGATAGCTCGGTAATGTAGACAGGCCTTGTCTGTTGCTGTGTGTCTCCTTGGCCAAGCTTTCATCAAAATAACGCAACATTGTAAATTAAAAAAAATTATCATGTGAATCAGGAAATTATTTCTAAATGCATTATCTGATTCAAAGATGTTGTGATCAAAGTTGAAAACTACCACCTCAGAAATGGCATTCAGGTAGGGCTCTGCCTTTTTATCCTTCAAGTCCCTATAATAATATCCATAGAATTATTACCCAGTAAACAGGTACTGAGATACTCAAACTTATCATGTAGAAATTGCTATCTTGATCTAACATCAAATTCTTGTAACTAATTTACAAGGAAATGTGCAGCATTTAGAGTGGAGAATTAATGATCAGACCTCGGAAGATAAAGGATTAAAACCAAAAGGAACATCTTGCAAGGATGCTGATAATATTTGTATTAATTGATAAAGTTGTATTTCTTACCTGTCCATACTCTGATGATCCCCAAGAATACACCTATGTGAGGGAAAATAATCAAATTAATCCCTGACCCATACTTCTTGCCAGCTGCCCTCATGTCAATGAATCAAAATGTATCACATTTTACTTAGAACATAGATCATGGTTAATGGTTCCTGCTTAAAATGAGAGCAGCTCTTCATACAAGTCTGCTGGGAATGTTCAGCCCGGCTGCATACTACTCACTTTGAAATTTCAACTCTCTTGCTGAGATGAATAAGCTAAACCTCTTATCTTGATCTTCTTGAGAGCTAGCAACATGTTAATTAACTATGATTGCTTACCCCATCACTGCAGAGAGCCAACGTATGTTCCATTCCACAAGCCACTGACAACACGTTAATCCTAAAACAAACAAAATAATTACACTCAGTCAGTCAATAGGTATTTGCAACTAACATTAAAACAATTAAAAAACACAATGAGAAAGATAAAAAATTGTTTCTGTAGCATCTCAAAATATTCTGAAAAACTAAATCTCACTCCAATAAAACCTGAACCTGTGCATGTGGAGAATTTCAACTCGAAAAGGAACGGATTTTCCTTCTTCCTCAATTAAATCTCCATGACCCAATCTGCAGCAAAAAATTTCAAAGATTAATTGTTTGTTCATACTCTGCAAGATCTAATTAATCAGCACCATAAAAGCAGAACTGGTAAATTCTAGAACATAGAAAAATGCACTGGGTGAGGTGACCTGGTTTAGCCAGCAAATACCAACCAGACTACGAGGCTACATTCCCAATCAACCTGTGCCACAGCCTAAGAATCTTCATTCCATTTAATATAATTATTAAAAAACCCTACTTAATGTACATTATTAACCAAGCGCGAGGGCCATACTGGGAGAATATCGGCCCGAGGTCTTGACAGTATGGACCGAGCGCAGCGAGGTCCATACAAAAAAGACCGAGGGTTGATATTCTTCCAGTACGGTCCCGAGCAAGCTTGGTTAATAAGAGATCTATTATACGACTGAAGTTCAAAGGGACACAAGTGCGGTATCATTTGGGACCATTCGGGACAGTGCCCAGTCCAATACTGAGAGAATATTGACCAGCAATAGAGCATTTTGATTGGTTGATTTTAGTTATTAGCCCTCTGACTGCCTGAGTCGTGTAATAACATCCCATTATTAATTGGGAACCATAAACTTAATCGATCTTGTTCCCTAAAAAAAGTGGGAGTCCAATCCTGTGATCACCTAATTATATAATTATATCTGAATTTACAAATACTGTAACAGTAACCTTAGAAAGATGTTAAATTTCATCTTAAGTCACAAGTGTGGGACAATGAAAAAATTCTAAGTCCCTATGACAAATCGAACCTTAGACCTTCGGATTCCGTGCTCC